CATTCGGAATTTTATATGCGTTCTCGTTTGGGTTATGGCGATTCGGCGGCGTTTCTCAAGACTGGTGGAGAGCTGGTGTAAATGAAATAGGTGCTGAGAGCTGCCATCCGTCTGTTTGCGGTTTTCCACGTGTGCAGGTACGACCAGCTTACCAAACATGTATATTGAAATCCATAGACGAAATCGAGGAGACATCCTGCTGTCCAGAAAAACCATTCGAGGCGACCGGGGAGCGGATCCACAGCATCAGGTTCTATTGAGTAACAGTTCACGCACACGTGGTCAGGGTTTAATGGTATGGAAACAGGAATTCACGATGGTAACTGGTATTCGGTGTACAATGACGGGAAGTATGGTTAGGGAGATGAATAACAATGCCTTCAGACGGTGTCTGGACGATTTCATGTTGAAAAAAACGCGACATGTAGCCCGCCTCTGACACGGTGAAGAGAAAACTTATATCGGAGGATTCCATACTGTTTTTAATTTCTGAAGGTGATGATTATTACAAATAAAGTGCCTGCTCAAAAAGTAAAATCCGTGCCTTTTTCTTAACTGTTTACTTGTTTGCTTCAACTACAGCACAAAAGTTGAAGTTAAGTACACTTCTCTGCATCCATGTCGGACTTCATTTGTAGACTAGGAGTTTTTATAGAATCTTCCTGTTTAGCGTGAATCAACAGTCATGTATATGAATAATGGTTACTTCGGTAAATCAACTGGAACGCACACCGGTTTTGGTTTCATGTTTTTTATGTTGTCCAAGTCGACGTTTTCAAGTCGTGAACCAGAGTGAAGTGAAACAGATCTCTCGGGCCTTATATTGAAGCGATTGTCCATTACTTGGGACTCAGAATTTCGCTCATGGAAGCTTTGATTTTATGCTTGACATAAATACGGTAATACTCATCTCAACTTGTGGTCAGACTTTTTATTGTCTGTACACATTCTCACTTATCTTGTATGTATTATGAGTTTGGCAGCGATCAGTGAAGTTCGCTTCATTGTATTACACTGTACAATGATGACGTTGATGATGATGACGATTGGCGCTGGTATATTCTTTCTGTGAATTAATGACTTAATTTATATGCGTGGCCTCACATTCATGTGATAACATGATTTTGGCACCCTTGGAAGAACATAAGATTATCACTGAAATGTGTCACTTACGAATGGCTGATGTTGGGACCCTGAGTCAGTGCCGGTGGTTTTCTGGGCGATAATGCTATTTGAAGTAAATATTCCTGCACTGCATTCAGGCTGGCATATGCATTTTGGAGTTCAACATATGAACTGGTGCGCTGGAAACGAAGTGTGATACAGATGGTATGGTTACATTTTGCGTTTCTGCACCTGACTCGGTGCAGTTGTATCAGAAGAGGGAACTTCTTCCTTCAATATCTCTTTGTAATGGAGAGCCTTTCCCATATATTCTGATATAGAAAACATATGAACACAAGTAGCAGATTCGCCAGTTTTTCGTCGAATACGGATGGTGTGAACCTGGGATGTGAACAGAAGCACGAAGCAGAAGTACGATCCTGAACCCAAGCCCTGAAGAAAGTAAAAGCAGCAGGACGTAAAGGGCTTCCTCCCACTCTTTTCAAGATAGGGGACGATAAACTCGTCAATTACATAACTGATGTAATAATTTAAATCTGGTCACAAAAGCGCACTCCGTCATCCTGAAGCGAATCGCTGGTCTTTACAATTTTAAGGGATCTCGCAACAACCGAGCAAACCACCGTGGAATAACTTTGATCCCAATCGTCACCAAAGTATTAGCCTCCGTCATACTTCGACGTCTAACACCCTTCAGGGAAACAAATATCCGCGAACAGCAAGCAGGATTTCGACCAGGCCACGGCTGCATCGACCAAATCTGCACCATGCGTCAAGTCCTGGAACTGCGCCATACACTGTCGATCAACGGTTGTCTTGTTCCTTGACCTAAAGGTAACCTTCGACTCAGTTGGCCGGGAATCTCTTATGACTTCGCTCCTTCACATAGGAATGCCGCAGAAGTATCTGGTATACTGAGGTCATTCTGCCTGCATACTTCTGGTAACGTAAAGGTCTACGGCGAGCTGGGTAGGTCATTCGTAACTAGTAGCGACGTTAGTTAAGAGTGTCCTATTTCACCGTTTCTGTTCGATTTACTCGTAGACAAAATACTGGAGAACGCACTAAGTGGCCTTCGAAATGTTGGTATTGAATGGGCAGCTGGAGAAGAGCTGTGCGATCTAGAGTACGCTGACGATATCGTTTGCTTGTTCGAATGTATGGAAGATGCACAAAGAACACTTGACAGCCTAGCAAGTTTTGTTGCTCCGTTGGGTGTGCGCTTTGTACCTTCAAATTTTAAAATGATGCTGCCACCTTGGGTGTCACTTATTTCCGATCTGAAACTAGACGATCGGGAATTAGCTGAAGTTGACCGCTTCTCGTACTTGGGTAGCTATGTGGTCAACGACGGTAGCGCATCAAAGGAGATAACCACCCCCGCACTTCCATGGCTCCAGCAGCGTACGCAGAACTGAAAAACCTGTGGGGACGATATGACGTTTCACTGAAGTTGAAAAGGAGCGTTACTACGCTATATTACCGTCAGTTCTGCCTTAATATTGTGAAACATTGAATTCGCGGGTAAATGACACCTGTCGCGTAGTAGTTTTCGACGATCGAGGCTTACGTAGTCTGGCCCCGGTGGGATGGAGTGAGCGGGTTAGTAGCCTAGATCTAAGTCGTCGGGCGTTTAGGGATGCCTTGAACACTAGCTGGTTATCGCATCGAATTCGTCTCAGTAAGCTCCGTTGGTTAAGACACGTTTTGCATATGTCTAACGGTCGCCGGCCGCACCGTGCCCTATCCGCAGTGGCTGCGACAGACTGAAGAAAGCCACATGGAGGCCCTGAGATGACGTGAAGGCCAAGCGTGAATAAATTCTTAGAGCGATTAGGTAGAGTAGATGCCTTGTCTTCCCGTTTGAGGTCCAAAAGACTACGTAACTGGTGGGTTGGAAACACTGAAGGTCATGGAAGCAAACACAGTGGCGATCACTTCTTGTCAGACCACAATGCTTGAAAGCGAGTTGATATGTGTACTCTGTGCGTTAATCATGGAGGTTCACTTTCTTTTCCTGTTTTCAAGAACAACGCTTAAAGTCTACAGTCCGATGCANTGCAACCAAGAAATTGGCACTTCGCAACTCTCAGTTCGCGCAGTGAATGGAGGACAAAGGGAACTCATAGGGAAAGCGACTGCAGCCGCCCTTGACTGAGTCAGAAGATAACTCTTCAGAGAAGTTATGCTAAAAAGTGGCCATGGATGAACAACGGAGAGTCTGTGGGGTAAAGTCCGTTTTAACGATTTGCGAGAGACAGATTTATGTAACAGAACCAGTTAGACAACTTTTCAAAAAAATATAAGTTGATTCCCTTATCCTCATGTGTTTTGTAGGTATCTCTCATGGATGTTTGCGAATTTCGGATTATTTTCTACAACATCTGCACTATCTAGCCAATGATGTCGAAACTTGTAGTTAGAATGCTGAATCTTATAATATTTCAATTGATTTGACCGATTTATCTATAATATTCTCGTTCTCGTCGGTTACAAATGAAATACTTCTAGACTGCAGTTATATAACCTTCATTGCAGAACCCATTAACTCAAAGATGATACTAAACTCTATTTTTTAAAGCAAGATTCTGCCGTGGCGAACCATGATCGTTTCCGACAATGGTGGTCAGTTGAGTTTCAGTTTTTACAACCGTTAACCATACAACGTCAGTTGTGGTCACCATCACATCGATCCAGATAGACCTCGTGGGTATGACCATCCCTGAGTCAGGAACTCTAGGTAAATGTTGGTTTGGTTTTGAGTTGCAACGTTGTATTTTAGTGTCAAAAGTTTGATACCGACCCAACTAAATGGTGAGTATAATCCGGACTGTCAGTTCGAGACCGGTGGAGAGGATGTGTTTCGGCCAGTGAGATTTACATTTCCCTGAAATGTCTGTCTTTGAGCTCCTGAGTCTGGAAACAGACTCGAGAGGAGTAATATATCGATATGGTGATCGAGAAGGTCAGCATGATGATAGTTTAGCAATTGTTGTGGTTAGGTGTTTGCTACCTCGCTGAAATTTCATCCTAGCTGTTCTAAGAGTGAAGACCGCTTTGCTTACTGTAGCACAAAATAAAGTAGATCCATAAAAAATAACAGTATTCGCAAATCACTCATATCATACCATCTGCGCGAAACTACGCAGCGATTGGTGGTGGAAAATCTCGAAGGGATGGATTTCTTCCTTGTTGCCCAACATCAGGGGCATCCGTTCAAATCGTCGACTAGAAGTTTGTCGTCCTTCCTTTCCCCTTCGAGTTTGCAGTATTTGGTATTTTCTTATCGACTCATGTTTTTTCTGCCTCCAAAATTGATTCTTTCAAGCCGAAACTGGAGAAATCAATATCATATCTTGAATTTCGATATCTCTATGAGCACAGGAAACAGTAAAAGTTTGTGATACTCCTCATCTCTCTTTTCTCGGTCAATCCACTCAGTTGTGTTGATAACTCTATGGGAAACAGAAAGCAATCGCTTGTAAGTATTTGCAACAAAGCGAGCCAATGACAGTAAATTAAACCGTGTGACCACCATTACCTTACTTTCGTTCGATTCCAGTAGAACGTTTTTCGAAATTTCCCGTAATTTCCCGGCTTTCCAAAGCCTTTTCTAGTAATTCACAATGAATTGTGCATGAATCCCCAATTATGACGCAAGCCGTACAAGCGATACATTAGATCACTCATCATGTCTAATCATTTTTGGTTAGTGGGGTGTGGGAGCAATGCGGTAGTTCTCACGGCAAACAGATTTTTTTTGAGGAATACCCGTTGACGTTTGGCATATTGTTTCTTCCAGATCCTCACAAACAGTGTTCAGCGAGTGAGGCACGAATGAACTACATTCCATCGAAACGCATTGCACGAACGCAATGCCGTTTGCTGTTTGTAGTGTTGTGTTTCTGCTTCGTTTCTATGCACTACTGATTCACTTCACGGATACCACTTCTGTCGAAACCCTATGTCGACACGAGATCGCAAATGCATCGGATATAGTGACCCGCGTTGCTCTCACTGCGGGGCGCCTTTTCGTACGCCAGTCACCACCGGATCAATTGAGAATACACATTCATTATGACCAGTCGATTCAAGTTTTGGAAGAGTTTGATCATGTTCGCGTAAGTTTTCACATTCTTCTTCAGTCAGTTGTCTACTTACCACAACCACAGACAAATGTAGTCGAGGTGGCAGTTGAATTTTGGAAAAAAGCTTTGCGACTACGTTTTCCGGCTAACAACGAACGCTTACTACTCGACCGGTAACTTCATTTGGATACCTTTGTTTAAACTCAGTCAGACTTTGTGTTGACGGGTTGGCGAAGCTGCAAACAATGAGTCATAAACCATTGACATTCTGTGTAAACGGTTGTCGTAGCGTTACCAAATGTGGACCGATTGAGATACCCGCGAACCATCTAAATGTAATACCATTTGATTATCTGTTATTTGAGTTTTTGTTTAGAAATGCCGTTCAATCGTCAACGGCTCCTACGTTTTATCAAACGAACAAGGTCAGGGACTGGAAAACACCGATTTTGTACTGTACATTGCAGTTTTACCCACCGCTCGATGCACTACCAGTAAAGTTCTCGGCTACGCATCCCATTGCCAGCTGGCTGCGAAAACGGACAGGTATGTTGGGTATTTTTGTCCGTATAGAACTTGCTAACATGGGTGTTTTCCATATACCATCAAAATAGTATTGGTTCATTCGCGTTAGTTTGGTCCTCGTTTCCCAGTCCATTAAGAATAAGGTCACTTGTCTTTTCAATTTGCGTGAATCGTGTTTGCCATCTTGATCAGATAAGATCAACTGATTAGTTTAATTCACTGTGGCATTGAAACAGCTCGCCAAGAACAGTTTAGTTTGTGAAACCATGAACCATGCACTTTCGTGCGCCGGTTTTGTTTGCTGTCTTTTGACTGCCCATTTGGATGAAGCGGTAGGAGAAAGACAGGAAAGGTTGAAAGTAGGATCGACGAGGAAATTGGAACTTTCATTGGATTAATGTTACAAAGAAATTGGGATGTACGAACGCCACTGTTTACGACACAGCAATATCACTCAGTGTCTCTAACTATCGATTACAATAATCCCAAAGTCCCCATTCAGGGAGCCTAACGCGACCTATATGACCGAGTCTCCTGGTTAGTTTTCATACCCTCATGCCATGTCTGGTTTTGACCACTATTGGTTTCTTTCCACCCACTACCTGCCTCGGCGAACATCGCGCGCCGTGGTGATCTATTTGGTAATACGCGTAACAAATGCCCCAACCAGCGTAATCTATGGAGGTCGACCACTTGCTCCAGTGGACAACCGCGATTACCTAAAACTCTACGCCTAACCTCAGTATTGCCCGCCCGGCTATCCCACTAGACTCGTTCAATGCTGCGTAGACATCGATGTTCAAACACCGACGGTCTATCTGCATCCTGATTTATTAATGGCCAAGTTTCTGTGCTGTATAGCAGAACTATCGCAGCATTCACTGGACTCTTCACGTACGGCTGGATGTCGCGGCGGCGCGACAGATGTCTCAAGTTGGCAAATGCCAATCCAGCCCTCTGTACGCGAGCTGACACTTCATCCGTGATGCTTCCACCAGATGAAATGTGTCTGCTCAAATAACGAAACCGGTCCACTTTATCCATTACTTCCTCAATAGGAGTGAGGCAGGCGCTGGACCAACCCATGATTCTAGTAACATTTTACATTTTGAAGGTGCAAAACGCATACCGAATACGGCTACGCTGGCACTCGAACTACCCAGAAAAGCTTGCAGTTGACCTGGATATATACTTAGCAGTACAAAGTCATCTGCATAATCCAGATCGGACAGTCTACCACTCGAAACCAACGCGACATCATTAACCTATCACGAGCATAGGGCTGTTTCCATAATCGAATCTATGACAAACTTAAATAGAAAGAACAAATCTGTACCACTGTTTAACGTATACCATTGCTTAAACTGCAAGCGAACTTATTTCGACAGGCCACCAAACTCTTCGTTAAATGATAAAATAGACCTTCATTATTATTAACCATGCTCTAGATCAACTAGATAAGTTGTGTACCCGTATCTGACCATTGCGGTATTGTGCGATTGTTCTCTCTTCAAGGTGTTGATAATAGGCTGTCCGTTTTCACTACAAAATCAGGAGAATCGTTGTGACTCATCTCTCCTATTGTTAACTATATTGAGATCTGCATTGATGAAACCTTTCAGTGCCCTCCCTGGGCTCAGCCGACATGGTTCGGCCATGACAGTTGTGATTTCTTTAATGTCAATATTCTACTCCAGTTTGAGCATGACAAACAATGTCTTAAGCAGTATCTGACCCAGTTTTCTATTTGATACTCGGTATTACTGCCCTCATTTTTTCGAGGTTAACATATGCACTGCCGTCACATTTAATTAGTGTGATGATCTACCTGGCCTGAGAAGTTTTTCATCATTTCAAAATGGAGATGATAAATCCTCCTGTTTTTGTAGCAATTTGACTGAAAATTTCTCTCAAGTTCCCCTTAACCCTGATTTGTTTGCTCCCCCCTCTAAATGTGGAGAGGGTGGGGTCCACATTTAGACATGAACTGCTTTGTGCTCCTTTCGCGGTTGATATCAGTCGAAATGTTTTTTTCCACTGCGACCTGGCTGTGCATATGTGCGTGTGTACTTGAATGTTCTCGTGTTATGTGTGTGTGTGTGTGCGTGTTCGTTCACACGCAACTGTCAGACTTAAATTACGACGACCACCATTGGAGAACACGCAACATGTGGTGTCGAGGTTTGTGGCTTTTCCGAACGGATGAAACTAAGTTGTCTTGGTGTGTGTGTGTGTGTGTGTGTGGTACTTAGCTACATGAACTGTTGCCGAAATTAAAAATTGTCAAACAAAAGGTGTATTTGTTTTAGTGTTTGACAGTTTGTGACTCCCAGTTCGCTTCAAACGAAACGGAATGATTCATCACTCTACGGGCACTACTGTTTTCTCTCTCTCTCTCTCACAATGGGAACTGGTCAGTGGATAGGTGAGTGGGAGGTTTTTCGTGGAAGGCGAATGCTTTTTACATTATTTCCTTGGAAGTAGACAACTGTTGATTGTGACTGGTCGCATCTGCACCCCGGGACGTTGTTGTTGTACGTGTCACATTGAGAACGTCATAAAACCAATCAGTTTCGTTTGTTTGACTACTTTCTGCGAGAGTATCAATAATTATGAGCATGAGGTTGAATGAGGCGGTGAGTGAAATTCATAGGGTCTCATTAGTGCCTTCGGTGAAAAAAAGATTTCGATTGATTTTGTTGTCAAATAATCTTCAATCATCTAATTACGTTTGTACCAAGACAGGTTTTTGTAAGTCCAAACTGAATAATGAGCTGAGTGTATTCAATAACCCTGCTTCACTCATGATGTTCACATTGCAATCATTGAAATCGCTCGCTATCATCGTTCAAAATAAGAGCAAAAGGAAGACTTCTATCACCTACATCGACTAAAACCGTAACACGAAACTGCACGGTTAATGGCTGTATGAACTGAAACTGAAAATTTCATCAACACCTCTTGGAGTGACAAATCAGAGGCCGTATCCATCTGTTCCATGAATGGCATTGATTATTTAATCATGGTCTACTGCCCCATGGCCCTTTCATAGTTAACATTAACACATCTTCTTGCGCTTAATCCGCTGTTAATTCTTTCCGTTCTGTTCAGTTCTGTTCTTACAACCATTAACCATGCACATTCGTGCGCCGGTTTTGGTTACTGTCTTTTGGATAAAACAGCATAATAGTGATTAGAATGTTGAGAGCAGATTCAAGCGGAAGATAGCGGATTTATATAGACTGATGTTACAAGAATAATGAGTAGAGGCTTTAGTGCCACTGTTTGCGCCACCCAGTCGTATTGCTCAGTGTCTTTAACCATCGGTGACCGTAATCTCGGCGTCCCCAACTAGGGAGCCTAACGGGACCTGTGTGACTCAGTCTCCTGGTTGGTGTTTTCATACCCATATTCCAGGTTTTAGTTTGACCGCTCTTGATTGTTTTCCAACGCTACCTGCCTCGGCACACATCGCTCGCCGTGGCAACTTATCTGTTGACATGCGTATCACATGTCCCAACCAGAGTAATCTATGGAGGTTGACTACTTGTTCCAGTGGACGACCGCGATTATTTAAAACTCTACGCCTTGACTCAGCATTGCTAGTCTGGTTACCCCATCAGGTTCGTGCAATGCGACGAAGACAGCGGTGTTCGAACACGGACAATCTATTTTATCCTGTTCCCTTAATCTCCACGTCTGCGCCGTAAAGCGGAACTGGCCGAACTGCTGCAGCATATACTCGAACCTTCACAGACAGTCAGATGTCGCAAAGGCGCAACAGATGTCTCAAGTTGGCAAATGCCGATTGAGTCTTCTGTGTGCTCGCCGACACCCATCAAAGACAGAGGGAGGTAGATAGTCTGCTATCTTGAACAAAAAATACCAACAACAACTAGTAATGATAATAATCATTGTCCATGGTTCGCCACGTTGAAAATCCACAAAGGTTTTGGTACCATTGATTTTTGTGCGCGATCTACACATTGCTACNACTTATGTGCATCATATAACCAAGCTTTTCTAACTGTTTCGCCACAACCGAGTCACAACTTTAACCACCCCGATCTTCAGATTCTCAATTCAATTTCATATTTATATACTTACGAAGGTTTTCCTCCCTTCCTACTCAGCTGATTATTCCTTACTTTTTGTTTTTGTTTTTATCTCTTTTTCTTCATCGTTTTTTCCGCATAGTTAGTACACACGTTTCTATCCACTGTAATCGTGCCCGTTGTTGATCTCTTGCAGGCCGATTGCTGGATATATAAACTTCTGTCCGGGTGCTTTGAGTCAGAAACCAATCGACTCAATGCGTTCTTTGTTCATTGCCAAACACGAACTACTCCACGCACTGGTTAGTTTACTGCTTTTTCCTCTCTCTCTGTGTGCGTTTGTGTGTGTGTGTGTGTGTGTGTGTGCACGTGTGTGAGTATGTGTGTATTTGATAATCTTTTTGTCTATTCCAGGGGTTTTCCAGCAGTCTGTTTGCCATGTATCGGGATCCGCTGGGCCGTCCGTTAACACCGCGTGATCCAAAAACGCAGCTGCCCGCTTTGGGTTGGTCTCACTCGGGGTAAGTGTGATTTGGCCAGTCGTGAATACTTTGATTGTTTCTTTGATACCGTTAAAATTCTTTTTTATTTCTTTCCACTGATGCCCCAAATGTTTAGTCTTCTGTTTTACACTCGAAATAGGCATAGAAAAGCAAAATGCAAAGCATAATTTCTCATCAAACCGAAATTCCGGTTGCTTGTTTAATCTTTGTGAACGTCTAACGAGAAGTTATTTATTTGCGCGTTTTGGTGGTATCCGCTCACAGCGGCCTCTGCCGTGCATCGGGTGTCATTGTGCATTGAACTGCCAAGGATAGGGCCTGGATGGCACGCACGCGATCCTGCCTCGATCATATTTGTGTTTGTGCAGACTTTCACGTGGACAGTTGTCTGTATTTCTGCCAAATATTACACTCCATCTCATCGAAAAGAAGGAAATGCTAAGTGTTGAAAAAGAGTTAACCTTCAAAACTTGCCGAGAAATTCCTCAGAAACGTACCCCCCCCAATTGATGAGAAGTAGAGCGAGACAAAGAACAGTGAAATTTTGGTAGATGTTAATGCTAGAGGTTAAGAAGCGATAAACAGAGCGTGTTAAAGTGTCAGAGTGACACTTTGATAGATCGCTATGCAAAAAACCAGTGGCATCAGAAGGTATTTCCTGTCTAAATTTTCACACGGACAAGTGTGGTTCAAACAGCTGTGCATATAGTTCATCAAGGGTTGTGACAGACGCGGTTGCTAGTCAACAGTCTAGTGTGACGAATTTTAAAAGCTCTCTTACAAAGACTGATACTGACTACCGGGGAACAACAGAATAAGCAGGAGAAGTACACGAATAAACCAAAAGTTGAGCTGTCTCTCGTTTGGCTTTTGATTTTTGGAGTTTTCGTCTTCGAAAAGATTATCCTCCAAGTATCTTCAAACAGTTGTAAATATGAGGTGATGCCGATGAGGCCAACACTACAACAATAGGAAAAAAGGCAAGTAGAGTACCGACGGGGGCGATGTGAAAAAGAAAAACGGATTCTATCGCACACAAAGGATAAGAACAACAAATCTACTCCAATTGGAGGTTCTTCTTTTAAGCTCGTGATGTCACATGGATAAGTAGATCGGAAGAGGTGAAATATGCATTACGAACACTGATAAATTAAGGGCCAATCTAGGTGGAGCAGATAAATAGTAAATACGAGGTAGATCTCTGTAGAAAATTTGAGGCACCTTCATTAAAGACGTAGCCTAATAATGGGGTACATCACCGGTTTATTTAAATATAAATGGGTTGATTATCTCGTCGATAGGTCACTATTGCAGGTGGAAAACAAGGTCGAAAGAACCACTCCCTGGAGCTTATCGGAATTATTCACCGATAGTTTATATCCAATCGAGTGTGTGGATTTCTGTTCGTGCTTGCGGCACTCAAACTTTTTACAGCTTGCGAAGAAGGAAGGAACGTGAAACAGAGTCAAAGCTGGACGGAAAATCTAGAAAACACGTCCAAGGAGGTTGTTCGCTACTCTTTGTCTTCCTTAGAACGTGAAATATTTATATATTCGGAGAAAACACCTGTTAAGGATTTCATAAATGTATCTACGAATTTCGTAGCAGGATGAACTTGGCAGTCGACAAAATTAGAAGTGGGTATATTCATTTCGTATAAACATTAAAGATGAGCTTAGAGAGCATAGAAAGAAGAAATCGAACGTTTGACAATGGTACTTTCGGTAATTTTAAGATAACAAGATGTTAGGGTAATGGGACGAAGGGGTTTGGCTGTAGTACTGAATTACATGGTTGAGGAATGGCCGATGGGCGATTATCACAAGAAAGAAACAGACTGGTTGATTAGTAGACAACTATCAATGTGAGAAAATATTCAGTGTCAGGAAATGTTTTCCCGATTGATAGGTTTAATAAATGAAACCAGCGGAAGTGTTGCATTCTTTCTTTGTAAAGTGTTATAAAGCTGCACAAAACCGTGACAGTTGTGCACCATATCACTCAAACCAGTCTGTTAGATCGATTCCACTACAATCGGTTCAGCGCACGGCCTTCCTTCTCATTCATAAGCCGTAATGGTCAAAAGTTACTTTGAGTTTCCCACTGTAATCTTGTCTTCACCAAGTTGTTCCAATCAGAATACTTTTCTTGTTGAAAATCCTATGACGTAGTACTTTTCACAACCAAACCACTAACAAATTGTGACAGCATGTGAACTACCCACCTTGGCCACGTTCAGTCAGGCAAGCCTTAGACGCTATGTCTACAATTGGGTGAAAATTTATCCAAATACTGATTCTGTATGCTACGATTTTCCGAAGACGTCAGAAACTTATCTCGATGGTTTCACGATTGGCAGCATAGGAGGTTACTGCGTTCACAGTTCTGTCCTTTTGGTTTCAGCCCCCACTCCGCACACGTTTGGTCCTCATTCCCATTAAAACGGAGACAGTCATCAAATCAGGGACGGGACTGTCACCAACAAGTGAATGCAATATATCCTTGTGCATTAAGCGATTCGGCTTGAATAGTTGTTACATGACCGCCTGCTGAGTGTACTGGCCCAGCCTAGGTAGCGTGTCCGACCTTCCGTATTTGCATAAAACAACAGGGAACTGAGTGACAGCTGTCATGAGCGGACACTTTGTGAGCGCGACACATACTGTCTCACACACGCACGCACGCACATTCCAATTGCATCTGGATTCGCCTAGATTTAGACTATAGCTCTGCGGTGCGGATAAATGGAACGGTCTCAGTTTGTATTGTGTTGTCACACGGTATACTCACTATGCACGCTCGTCTTGCTCTTTCACCTTGCAAGTGTGTGCGCGTGTAAGCCTCTCAGAAACCGGTAAAAATAGTAATGATTTAGGGCAGACAAGCTAGCTCAATTAAGACCGTTCATTCCCGATTGTAACTGTTTGCGTGTCTGGTTTTTCAAACACAGGGAGAGAGAAGAAACAGTGATCATAATCTGCAGTTACGGGAAACCGAATCCCAATGAAACTATAATCATGTTACCATAGCCCTTGAGTCATTTGGGTTGTTCATTTATCTAACTGAACAAAGTTCCAGGGTTTTGTGTGGTAGAAATGCCATAGCATAAAATGTCAATGTATGATCGCCTCCTTTGTTTTTTGCTCTTTTATTCTTATTCTCCGTTCGGGCTTACAGTTAGAGATTAGTCCATCAGTAGGCTCCGTTTTCTTTTTAATCGATCTTTAATTATCGATGAACTGCATGCAGTGCCACGACACAGGTTATATTTTATTGTCATGTGCAAGAAGTTTGACAGAAGGAAATCAGCATCGGTCATGGATATGACTATTTTGCTTGTATACGGTGCTCTTCGGTCCGGCGGGAGACAACTAATTTTGGTTACTATCATATTGTTCTATCTCAGGGGTACATGGCCTGAAAACCACTCATAGACTAGTCAAACATTGATTCCTGGCCATACTCTACCGTCCATATCTTGTTTCAGGAGGCTGATCAGAGTTATGACAGCCACAGTCGATCAAACTGCTGTATATGCTTTGTTTCAAATGAACGTCATGTTCACGATAATTTTGAATGGTTATTTTATGGATTGTATACGGATTCAGAAACGAAACTTACCTAGTCGTGTTTGGGAACAGTAATCGAGGTAAGATAAACCCGTGATCGAATAGTGTGGACGGGGTTCGTGTTCACATTTGCTCCGTTTACGTGCAAATGTTCGATCAGTGTGAGAGTAATCAGTTATCTGTTTCCGATTGTGGCTGTTTTTCTTTAGTTTGACTCCGCATATAAATTCAACTGATTTGAAAATTTCCTCCAGTTTGTGTTCCCTGGTGCTATTATTCAAAGAATGTCAAACGTAAATCTCGTAGAATACGGTACTATTCTATGCATTCTTTTCATCGGGTTCGCAGTGAGGCCGCCCGGGGCATAATCTTTACAGATCGGTGCGGACCTGTGAGGTTGCTTGTTTCCAACTCAAGGTGGATTTGTAATGTATCATGTCTAGATAAGGTAAAATAACCTGTTCATCTGCCCCGTAGTCAAGTGAGTGGCATGTTTTCACTCTAACGTTATGGTTCTGGATTGGATCCTCAGTTGGGCTGGCAGGTTCTTACAATGAAGTGCTATTATCATTTTTATTTTTCACACGGGGTGCCGAACACATCGCGGTAAAACGTTCTTTGTACCAGAAATCGATTCATGATTTTCCTGTGGGTGGAAAACTACCAGTTTACCCAGGCCAACGTTGGTAAACGTTTTTAGAGAATTCGCATTGAGAGCCTTCTGCTAGTCAAAGCTGGAACCACAACGTAATGGGGTGGTGCGGAAAAACCGTAATTATTTAAAGACCGGTGTCTGGTTCACCAAACCATACGCCCTATGGATAGGATGAGACGTAACAGGTAAACAATACATTTTGGTGAACAGTGACGACGGTGACCACTGCCGGAAATGGAAAGGTACGGCTGTATTCCGCATACCTCTTGGTTGGTTTGGGATCAAGGTTATTAGCCAACCCCCTTAGGTTGAGCTACCAGTGTTTTACCAACCCCGTTACAACCACCGATGTTGACTTTTTTCCCCGCTCACATTGGCGAGGAAACCGTCAACGGAAGGCAGTGAGTGTGGCTTCCTTAGAGAAGGCTATTTGAGACGCTTGGTTAGAATTTCACGAAGTACAGTACACGTGTGATCGGTCAAAACCCAAGACCTCCACCCCCGACCATACGGAAACTTTAAAGGGCTTAAAACAACGAAAAAAACAGATGTATCACACTTTCCAGTCTCCTATTCACACAATCCCTGTTTAGCTTAGGGTAAATTTCGTTCCATTATTATTGGATAATCTGTACACTGTAAATTTATGCTATTATTACACATCGTCAACCTAATTCTCTTGCTGCTAGCTACTTATATTAGAATAAAGACATCACTAAATTTGACGAACCCCAATCCTTTAGCACTGACCCAAATTTATTTAGCGAATACTCGCAATGCTTTGGCCATGACCC